GAGGGAGAGGGAGAGGGAGAGGAGGGGCGGGGCGGGTGGCGTGTGAAGCCCGAAACCATGTGTGACCGTACCGTGGCCGAAGCCACGGTGCAGGACAAGCAAACCAAGCCAGAATCCGTGAAACCTGAACCCGAAAGGATTTTGATTTGAGGGTTTAATGGGGAAGCAAAGATTTAGAGTGATTTAACCTTAGAGAACAAATGAGACTGTCAGGAATCTAGGGCTACGATTAAAATTGGAGTTGACTTTGGGTTTGCGTGTCGTCCTGAGCCGACAAGAGCCGACAAGAGCTTTAGGGCTCAAACGAGGAAGGAACGGTTGGCTCATTGTTACTGTACCATCAATATCCATCAATCATACGGCATAATTGAACTATTCATTATACTTATACTACTAGAGCATGGCCCCAGTACTGATATATTACTATTCATAGCGTATGCATTATGAATTATACTACTAGTCAGATTACAGGGTCGATTAAAAGATACATTTCATATGATTTAAGACAAATATAAGATTTCATGTTGTCGCAATCAAAGCCCCAACACCCCGAAACCCATAAACCTCAACATCCTCCAACCCTGAACCATTAGACCCCAAAGCATAAACCACCTTGCATTAAGCCCGAATGCCCAAACTACCCTCGAACCTTAAACACCTTGAACACTGAAACCCACTTCAAACTTACTGTTGCTAATCCTTAAACCCGATACCCCAAATCAACACCTGCTGTGACTAACGGCTACAGCTTGAACCCAAACCGATTAGAAACCCTAAACCCTAAAACCTCTCGTAACCCTAAACCCCTAAACCCTGAACCTCCTCACCCTAAACCAAAAACCAAAAAGCCCTAAAGCCGGCCCGCCGCCATTGAGGTTGTCATTGTCACGGCCGGGTTTACCGAATTTGAGCCACCCAAATGTTATCCGTAGCTTCTAGACAACTCAAGTTATCTTGATTTAACCTCCAAATCATACGCTTATATATTACATATACCAACCTTTGGGACAATGTAGGGATTTTAGTGCCCCAAGAGGTTAAAGGTTACACGACCTCAGAGCTTTTTCTCCCTGGTTACTCCAACGTCTAGTGTGTGCACATTCAAAAGGCGAATGTGTCGCGCAGATGTGGCTAAGACAATGTGTTTAATGACAATACAGTTAGTAGTATAAAATATTCGGCATCGGACATGACAATTAGCCATAGTTATATGGTTCCCACCGGCCAGTCTGCCTTGAAACCATGGGAAAATTGAACTCAATGCGGCCAAGCCCAGGAACCAAAAACCAAGAACCAACATGCCCAGGTCCCTTGAATCTTGGGTCTTGGTTCCGATAGCTTGTCTGCCTTGAGATCTGCATTGAACTTCAATGCGCCCGGACCCCAAAAACCAAGATGCCCAGAACTCTTGAATCTTGGATCTTGGTTCCAGGGACCTGGCTGCATGGAAATTTGCATTGAAAAATTGAACTTCAATGCGCCCGCGCCACAGGAACCAAGATCCAAGATACAGGAGTCCTGGGCATCCGTGCCTGACTGCACTGAAGTCCAATTTTTAAATGCAGATCTCAATGCAAACTCGAAGGCGGAAGCACGCTCCAAGATTCAACGGTCCTGGGCATCTTGGTTCCTGGTTCCATGGGCCTGGGTGCATTGAAGTTCAATTGTTCAATGCCGGTTTCAATGCAGGCATCTGGTAAGAGCTCTTGTATCCATAATCACGTATGTAATATTATATATTGCAGAACACGGAAACATGCAAGGGCAGGAAACATATTCACAATATACATAGATTTGTTATTAAAGTGTTACTGGCAAACATGTTAACATGTGGCAACATGCCTTGGAGGTAGGTTCCGTGGGGGGGTGGGTAATATGTACATACATATATATATATATATGGATGGACATGTATGCATCTTTCTTATTTATACCTATATTTGGCATAAAAACTCCATACTGCGTGTCCTTACTTTTGGGAAACACCCCAAGAAGTGCCCTGTTAGAGAACTTAGGTTCGAAAGGGTGGCTGCTAGGATGTTGGACTGCGGGTTCGGGATTGAAGGTTTAGGGCTTTTGGGAGGATGGCTTTTGTTTCCTTGCCTCCTCGTAAGTTCGAAAGCCCGAAAAAGCCTGAAGATCGAAACGACTACCAACAAGCTCAAAAAGCGCAGATGCGCGAAAGGTCTAAAACTTGTCGATGTTCTGATGTTTCATGCATTTGGATAGTTTCTTCGGCTAGCGAAACCAACGCATACCAACGCCAGCGGCGGTCATCCGCTCGCAGTCCGAGCGATCGCCTTTAGGAAGAAAACGAAGAAGATGTACATCAGGAAGTAGGCATTGGAGTACACGGCCTCATGACACAGCTCCCAATGCACGTGACGAGCTCGGGTCACCTAAATGCAGCAGGATTGCTCCCGGCATGAAGGGTGCAGTCGGAATAGTAATTACAACGACCTCGGTCTCATGCTGCAATAGGCCACGCAAGTCATTGAGACTACAAGAAACCTGATTAACTAAGCTGCAGGCAAATCCTTTTGTTACAATCATGTGGGCCAGCATGGTCACCATGGCTGCGCCAGCCTATGGCTACGCGGAGTAAAGCCGCTGCAAGTGACGATTCAGCAAATTGAGATGACAAAGCCTGTCCTGAGGACTGAACAGACTCGGAAAACATCATCGTGCCCACCAACACAAAGCCCTGACAGGACAGCTAGGTTGTGTCTACTACTGTTCAAGGGCATGAAGTCTGTGTTTGGGCTCTTTTCCCTTCCATCCTGGAGGTTGGTACAAACCACCAACTCTGGCAGAGCATTGGACAGCTCCTCCAAATAGCCGCTGGCCTAAAGTGAGAGAAGCATCCTTGCAACCAAAAGTGTCACACCGACTCCAAGGAAAAATCACACAGCCGTGCACAAAGTCGAGGAGCTAAATCGCAAGCGCAGCGCGCACGCATGAACGAGACATAAGGATGCCAAGACCACTACACACCATGCATACGTCTCCTGCGACACCCAACATGCGAAGTGCTCTGCCACCGGGACATGGAGTCGGACAAGATGTAGCATAAGGTCACGTTGTAGCTGTCCGGGGCCGTGGCCATATCAAGGCCTAGCAGCCCACCTGTGGCAGCAACCACCTTCATGTCAGATGCAAGATGATCTAGAGGTGCAGTTTGTGCAAAGCGATTAGACCGCCCTGGCTGAAACTGAGGCCATGCACTGCAAGGTACCAGTATGGCCTCCGGCAACAAGCGTGTGCAAAGTCAGTCGTTCAAGCTCTCTGTAGCTAACGTAACCCTTGGCATCGTCTGCTCCGGCTAGGAGGCATCAGACGGGCTGTCCACTGAAATCCACTTGGCAAAACAAATGAGCGTCGCCTGGTTCTCATCTTGTTGGAGAAGAAGTCCAGGGGATGGTAGGCCTCATCACCGACGAAGTTGACGGCTGCAAACCACACCTGTCCGCGCGGTCCAGCACAAGACTTGCGCACGGCCACTAAACCTCCCGGCTCCCTTTGGCATCTTCCCACACCAGTTTCTATCAGAAAAGCCGGGCCCCCTGCCGCCTAGGGGGCTGAAAAGATAATTTAGCAGCCCTGAACCAAGATCTCTCAGATCCTGTAATAGCGGCACTCTTTGGCCTGGGTGCTACCAGGCTCCCAATACGATTGGAACGGTTCAGAACCGCTCCTGCAGCATCTGCCCTGTTGCAAAGTATGCGTTATAATAGGAACATATACATATATATATATATAAGAGGGCGACCAGACTCAGTTTACAGAGCACGAAATCTTAGAAGCGCGCCGCCGCCAATCCTGTCGTGCCATAGGCCGCATAGAAACACACCTTGCATCGGTGCAATACTGGCCACATGCAATTGAATCAATTGTCGACTCACTCAGGGCTGAGCCTGCGAAGTAAGCATCCAAAAACTGTGCCCCTCTTCATTGGATTGCATGGCATACTAGCGGAGCTTCAGAGTAAATCTGTCTTCGAAGTTTGGTCGGCACGCAGTTGGCCGGCTTGTTGCACGCAGCATCGAGCTGCAAGACATTGTGCGGCTAAGGCCGTTTTGGGGTACTTGTCGCAAAGAATGCCATCTGACGGAGGCTTCATTGTGAAAGGACGGTCAGGAGACGATAGCCTGAAAGGCAGCACACTTTAACAAGGCTCATGAGCAGATTCTGGATCCGAAATGGCTTCGCAAAGGCACGAATCATCCCAACACCGAAGTTCCTGCCAGAGACATTACTGTAATTAACATTAACTACGCAGAACTGCAAGGAGAGGCTGTGACACTGTGAGGCTTAGATTTAGTCACGGCGGCAGATCCCAGTCCGGAGGCGGGTTGGGTGGCTCTACCCTCCTTTGACACTTTCCCGCATCATGAGCATCATAACTAAATGATAGCCAACACACTGTCGTCGGTGCGACTGTGTGCACTACCTAGCTTGCGAATCCTCTTACCTCATCGGCTTTAGTCCCAGCAGTTCCAAACGCTAACTCCCCGAGCATGGCCTTCCGTCGCGTTCACCGTGATGTCGAGTGGGCCCAGAGTCACCAGGTCTACTGTTACATAAGCTCTAAATTAGCACTAGCGGCTAGCGATTCAATAGCGGCTGGATGAGGCTCTCCCTCTTAGATTTGACCACCGCCCAAACTGCGATCGGAGCGTCAAACATCCCTGCAGCCTGTTCGTTCCACAGCCGCCTCCGGCAGAATTGTCGAATCAAGGGGGACGGGTCCGCCTTCAGAAAACTGACCCCGGTTCACACACGCACACACGCGCGCGCGCACACACACACACACACGCCAGCAAGCTTTCACACAAGTGTGGACTTTTACAGGTCCTAGTTGAAGCACTTGAGCCAATGGCAGCATGCACATTTTCGGAAGAGGTGTTGCTGGAGAAGTCTGCTACGTCTGAGTGACGACAGACCACCACACCCGCAAGTGGAATCGGGATCAAGCTGGATTCAGCGCGGAGATGGAGAGGATCCACAACGAGAGCAAGGGATAGCAGGGGACTTCGAGGCATTTTTCACGGGCCAAGCACTTCTCCAAGCACCCGGTTTCGTGCTAGTCCGACAAGCGTTCACTTCTGTCTTGCTTCCCTCCATCTTCCACCTTCTGTGGCATCAAGTCGTCCGGTGCAAAGGTGTTGTCCACATCCACCATCGCCAAGCAGGCTCCGTCCAAGTCCAGCATGTGAGGCATGTACGGATCGAGCAGCTCACGCCCCTTTCAGGTTCACCTCTGGGCGCGGAACAGAGGGATGCAGTGTGAACATCTGAGAGTGTTGTGATCGCCTCCTCTTCGCTCTTTTTCGCGGCATCTCCTACCAAGATCCACAACGAGAGGGAAACCGGCCGAGGCAAGCTAATCATCATTATCATGATCTGGATAATGCTGGCCGTGGTGATGATGATGATGAATATTATTATGATGAGGGTGAGGGTGGGGGTGAGACGAAGAGACTGATAATGCTGGTGATTGTGATGATGGTGATGGCGATGCTGCTGATGACGGTCATGAACGTGGTGCTGGCGACGGTGAGTGTAAGGGCGACCACCACGATGATTATGATGATGAAACGACCACGACGATGACCGTTATGATGACAATGATGATGACGATTTTACGATTCATACCAGCGATGGATGAATGGAGCCAAGTGCCAGGCCTGAGTCCTAGGTGGTGCGTAAGTGCCAAACCACCACCCTCATCATCAGCAGTATCATGCTGCATCATCATAATGCAGCTGGCCGCACTGTTACCGCACTGGAGTCACTGAACCCTCGCAAACACATCCCGCCGCATGGTTTTTTGTCGTTGATTTTTTGGTGAAGTTGTGTTCTCACCACAGTCTTAAGCACACTTTAAGGTTGTTTTGGGTTGTAAAAAAAGTGCTACGTGATGCTTGAGTGCTAGCAAACGTGTGGTATCAGCACGATTTCGGGTGACAAAAAAAATAAATGCCACATCGGACGGTACAGGTTAGGAATTTCTCGGTATTTACAGGCTCTGGCGCGTTTTA